AAGTGAATACATTTTTTTTCAGTTCTATAAGCCGATTCAGTTTGTTGAACTTGAAACGTAATCATAAACTGAAGTTGGAAAAAACATCACATAATTACATTGATCGTTGATTTAATAATGATAACCAATATAATTATGAGAAGTTATTTCCAACCTCAGTTTATGATTACGTTTCAAAACCGACTAATAAGAATCTTAAAGCATTATTGCAAAAAATATCACCTCAACTAATATTTGTACCTGCAACTTCTGACTTTCCGGGAGTTTTTTCTTAAGTAATTGCGACAAATATATATGTGCATATATACATATATCTCCACATTTCCACACGGTAATCAAATTGATAAAACACCCGTTGAAAAGTTAGAAGTTCTAGATAAAGATATTGTTTGTAATAAATTCTTTGCAGTGTTTTAAGATGCCTATTGCTATCATTATTAAATTAAGAATCATTGTAATTTATGATGTTATTTTCAACCTCAATATGATTATGTCTCAATACTTATAAATGGAATCTGCATGCAGTTTAGAGAACTGAAAAATATATCAGTTTTGTATACAAATATTATTAAGCATTAAGACACGCTTTAACTAAAAATAATTTTCATTTTTTTATTTAATAAAGAAAGCTATATAAAAAAGTACGCTATAAGAATACTTTTGTTTGTACACTGTAAGATCGTTTTCTTCGAATTTAAGACTACTAAAAACATTATTAAAAATTAAAAGTGCCCGTATCTTGTACGTGCATAATATAAATATTATCAAATTTAATTTAATAATTGCAAAGAAAGTGCTTTTTTTAAAATAAAAGTGTAATAAGAAATGAAATGATAAAAACGTTCTTTTTATTTTCGCAGGTTTAGCGCACCAGTTGTTCGCGAATGCGGCGTATGTTTCTCGAGGTGACGATAAGTCAAAGAACTCCGGTACGTCATTACACAATATTACTAGACGCAAAAGTCCAAAGGCACATATATACGAAACTTTTCTCATAAGAGCGTCGTGCAATTTTTTTAAAAGGGCTTTTCAATTTTCTCGCTACGTCGTTTCCAACTTCCACAGCACAGTTATTAAAGCGATATAAGATCTATACTGATCAAATAATAGTCATCAATTGATCGTAAATAAAAAATAGTTTGCGGGATGGATATTTATAACTAAGCATGCTAGAGAAGAAATTTCGAATAATACAAACAAGTTAATAATTTAATTCTTAAACTGCTTACTTCGTTGCTTTTGTCACGAAAATAGTAACATAATATTCTATTTCAGCTATTTTAACCCTCAATTACATGTCTCGTTTTAGAATCTTAATTTCCATGTCTGGGTCTTAATTTACAAGTCACTTACGATGTTTTTGACTAGCTTTGTAATTATCACAAATCTAAATAAAAAAATTTTTTTTTTAACAAAATGCCAGAATGTATAGAATCGAGATAACAAAAACATAAAAAGCTTTTGATAATAATTGAAAAAGTTATGCCAAAAATATTAAAGAACAATTTGTGAAAAGAGTGCATAATCAATTTTCTTCAAAAAACCATATCTTTATGAAAAAAAAGATACAGATTAAAAATAAATAATGTTTGGAAAAGAGGAAAACGTGAACTTTAAGAAAAAAAATACCTTATATTGATTCATTCCAAAAAGTATAATTATTTGCACGAATGAAGATATTTTTGTAGAGGAGACTGGTTGTCGTACGGGATTTGATTGTCAAAATGCTTACAACTCAAACAGGACATGGCAGAAAAATCTCTTTTTTTGATTGTAGACAGCTGATATAATATTAATTTGTTGTGTAAAATGGTTTGCACAAGTGTTATATATATTATTTATAGCATTTTTTAAGAAAATGAAGTTGGTGAGTAAATTTTTCTTATCATCTATTTTGTTGTCTGACAAGTCTTTGACATTATTAATCGTGATATCTCTGTATTTATAAAAAAATGACATATCTTAGAAAATCTTTGCTACAATTAATTTTAATATCTTTAGAGGGCACATTTTCAGAAAATATACTTACAAATATATTATATTTCATATAGATATATATGTTTTTTTCATTTTTCATATAGAAACTACAGTACAAAAACAAATTACGTATTTTATAATTAAAATAACTGTTTTATTTATATTAATGCTATAATTACTATTATTTCTCAATATAGAATTTTTATTAAAAAATATAGAATTAATATTAAAATAAAAATTGTATCTTTTATATATGTGTTGTTCATAACAAATATGTTACTGCCAATCCTAGAATGTATGACAATCAATCCAGAACACGGGGTTAATTGTCACATTTTTGCAGCTTTATTTAAAATTAAAAATAACTTATTTTTATGATATGATGAATTCATAAGTAATATTTTTTTTAATATCTAAAAAAGATGTAGGTATATTGTAACGTACGAGTATATGTACAATATTTCAAAATCAGGTATCCACTTTTTTCTAAAAATTAATAATCGAAAACTGTGACAACTGGCCTCGTTAAATTTTTATTGTATCGCAATTAGCATCAAGACAACAACGAAACAATTGCATAGTGATCGACAGAGAAAGAGGTTCCAAGTTTTTTCCCTCACTTCAATTCTGCAATATTAACCCCGTACGAAAATAGCGGCAGACTAAAATTTTCGCCAAATGACCGACTCATGTAGTTGAGGGTTAAAAGAATTCTAAATGAAATTCACGATTATTCTCAAAGACAATTCAGGCTAGAATTATATAGAGAAGCATCGATTACAATAAAGATTAGAAACCCGTCGCTTTTATAGATAGAGATTGCACAGTCGTGCCCGAGAAAGATCGATATTCGAGATTCAGCCCGTTAACGCTTTCGATTACTAACACTTTCGATGGCTAAATGGCTTGGGAGAGCCAAATGCGGTTCGTCGTTTCCTCCTTCGCTTAAAGCGCGGACCAGTTCGCACTTAAGCTCGTATAATTTTCGCACTAACTAGAGGGAGAAATTACCTCTTCGCGTTGCTCATGCAAGTAAATTCGCACGTTCTGGCCACTCCTTTTCCTGCAGCGTTCATTCACTATTCACGATTTCCATCTCTACCGATACTCGGTTCCAAAATTGTCATCGCGACGAGAACGCCCGAAAGCTACGCCGTTCATTCGGTTTTCGCATCGCAGAAGAAGAATACGTAACGTGTACAAAACTGACGTTACAAACTTGTTATCCTTCTTTCTTCATTTTTCGCCTTTTTCGTCGCGCTTCTGATTTTTCGTTGTGAATTTTCACGAAAATACACGCTGGGGGCTTGACGAACGTTCACCAACGTATGCTTTAATCGAATAGAGAACCAAGGTTAACGCGTAACTCAATTTTACATGCAAAACGCGCATCGATAATTTGCGAACATGCTGCAAGGTTTACGCTTTAGAGAGTTAGTTAAACAGTTTGTTTCCGCGCAGCTTTTGGAAAGATTCGAATAAAATTGCTCCTCTAATTCACGAGGGGATATGTACCCGCTTCTGTTAGATTCGAAAAAATATTGCGGGGAAAGTTTTATTTACTCTGAGAATCTCCGAAAATGCTTCGCTTTTCCCACGTGGAAAAAGGCAACGCGTGCGGGTAGTTGCGTGCTCGTAATGGTATCAGAAAACTCTCTACTTTTGTCAGTTCGCGTAAATTTGTCACGAGGGTGTTAAGAAGAACGCTATCTACGTAGATTGCCCGTGCAGTTGAACATTCCGCGTGATAAACCACACCACAGGGGTGTAATTTACAGGAAGATGAAGTTACCGTCATGGGGGAGCCGATAGTGAACTAGGTTGTTGGCGTGTAGTTTGAGCAATAGTCTATGATAGGAGCGGTCCGAAACAGGACGTGCAACGAGAGCAACCAGGCGACCAAGTTTACGTAGCACCATAATCTCACTTGTTCAACAGATCACCGCTTTCGTGATTGCCTCGTGACTTTAAGCACGTTATCGGTTTCGCGATAACATGAGATCCAAAACAATTTCATCGACATCGAAACATCGATGTAAAACAAAATACTCAAGATATTAATTTGTTTTTCTCCAGCTATTTATTATAGCCTTTGTGTGCAGAAGAACGCTTTTGCTGAAGTGTCTAAAAATTTAGCTAGATATATTGATTTGAAAAAATCTTGCATTGTATAGCGTTATTAATTAAATCAACTATCTCGTTTTTTGTCAACTAGATGTAGAAATCTTATAATCATTGTTTTATTGAGAATAATTACTGAAGAGGATCTTAATCATGGGTTAAAACGTATAACTATTATTAATATGTAATAAATCAATTCGCAATAATTTTCTATGTTGAATCTTAAAGTTGACTCTTCTTAATTAAAAAAAGATTTTTGTTGGCTTACTACAAAATAAAATTATGTAGGATGCTCAAGCTGATTGCTGGAATATTAAAATTGTTTGCACATCATGCTTGAGTTTTCTACACAAATATTTTGGTGAACTAACAAAGTTATTCAGCTCTGTATTTAGCTAAATTTTTAGATATTTCAGTACAATTATTCTTTCCATGTGGATATAGTACAATATATCGGCTTTCTTTTCAACGTTTTTCTATTGCTTATAATTTTTTTATTAATAAAGATATATACATTTGATACCATTATGTTCCTTAATGTTTGATGGTTCTATTCAAAACAATTTTTTTTCATAATGTATTTATTTTCGTGAAAGATATAAGCAATGAAAAAGTTGGGTGAAATATACCATATTTAAATATATTGTTGTCATAATGTGGCAAAGAAGGGTTAAATTTAGCAATTTTAAACAACCATTACATTATATTTCGAATAATTGCAGATAATTCTACAGAAAATCAGTTTTCTGGCGGTGCCAGAAAACAGGAATTTAGTTGCTAAAGTTGTCAGCGTTGAGTAATGCGCTCTGTGAAATTCAAATGGAAAATGTACGTCCGGAAGCTAAGCGTTAGAACGTAACATAATTTCATTTTTCATCACAAAAGCGAGCTAAACATCTTACCCGTATTGTTAACCGGATGTCCGCCCCTCACCGGCCAGCCGACGGACGTGCTCGCTTTGGACGAGAAGCTGAAGTAGGCCAGGAACTGGGACCGTGTTGTGTTCTCGTTTATCCTGAAACACACGCATTTCACATGTTAGCGTCCACTTCGTACGCGCACGTAACCGGCGCCGGCTTTTATGCGTTGCGCTTGCGACAATAAAAGAAAACGTTAGCGTGATAAATTACTACGTGTCTACCTACGCTACGTCGCGCGAGCCTGCCGTCCGCCTCGCTATGCGTCGACCTATGCTACGATCACGGTATTTACGACAGGATCTTGGCGCGCGGCAGGCAAATTTACGGATTCTTTCAAAGTGATATACAGCAAATAACCTGCAGGGGCCGCGATGTACTCGCGCAATTTATTGCGGTGTTGTTTTTGTCATCATTCCGCATACGGCTCGTAAATCACCGATGTGCTTTTATTGACGGGCTGCCCTTATCGGACGTGGCGCGGTTTCACCGATAGCCCGCCAATAAAAAGGGCCTTTCAAGCGGGCTTCAAGAAATTCGACGGATATAAAACGAATAATTCGCGATGAATGCGCGGTGACGTAGCCATTTGCCAGCCATTATAAATCAACGATCGCTTATCTGTTTGCGTTATCCGCAATCTGTAAATAATACATTGAGAAAAATTTCGGAAAATAAACAGAAGATCCTTATATCAATCAAAATTCTGATTATAATTATAATAGAATTAACAAAAAATTCTGATTTATCCATTTTCAGCCGGAATTCCAATTAATGCAACCACACAAATTCTTTTTCCGGTGCAGATTTCTTAATATATCATAATAGCTCAAAATAATAAAATAAAATAAAAGATAAATATAATTGATAAATAATCAGTTTATTTATTAATTACTATCTTTTATTTTCTTTCTACATAACAAAAATTTCTCAAATT